TATTGTACGAATTATTCGGCAAATTAAATTCTTATAATTTATAATAAGCACTGCTGTCATTAGGGAATTGTGATTAAGTACCTACGGAACAAACATTGTTTCTAGTTTATCCTGCATAATGACGATCACGAAGACGCTTGATGAACTTTAATAGTGCAGCGATACAGGCGATCCTCTCTATATGGTAAATACATGTGTGGTCTATTCATATCGTATATGTTTGGGTCTATTTCCTTTCGAATTGAAATGGACTGTTTTATGCGTTTAGTACCCATACTTAAAAAAAATCAAACAATTTATTCTTTTTAAAACATTCCCCTACACAATATGGTTTGTCGAAGCCTAATTAATGCTTCAAAGTTTGCAAATCTTTCCCTACGAAGAAAATATTTGAGGCCATAAACTTTCAACAAAACTTTTAATCCGATCTTGGATTAGATTTCTAAGAAACTCCACTTAGATCTGAAAATTGTTTACTAGTTATACGGAAATATCATTGACGATGCATACACATGTATATGCAAATCGCTATTCAGATATAGATCAAACTGGAATTTAAATGAAAAATATAATAATGTTTTAATCTTCGGACACTTTATCAAAGATATATTTCCGAGATCGCTCAATATTGTGACGGGAAATTTAAATGGAAAAAATTATAATGTTTTAATCTTCGGACACATTATCCAAAATATATTTCCGAAAACGCTCAATTCTGTCACATTATGATACGAATCGTGTTCCAGACAATTTGTCTAAGGCTTATCGTCTCATATTTCAACAAAGCATGTTGCGTAAGATAGCTTGATACCGGTAAAATGCGACAAATACGACAGGTTTAAAACAATTTCCTGTAGTGTTATTCCATTAATACGGAAGCCTTGAAGATGTCTAGGAAATGACTGGGTATAAACCGAAGTGAGAACGTGTCTATAATGACAGGGTATAAACCGAAGTGAGAACGTGTCTATAATGACAGGGTATAAACCGAAGTGAGAACGTGTCTATAATGACAGGGTATAAACCGAAGTGACAACGTGTCTATAATGACAGGTTTTATATTATTGACTTTGAAGTGAGAACGTGTCTATAATGACAGGTTTTATATTATTGACTTTGAAGTGAGAACGTGTCTATAATGACAGGTTTTATATTATTGACTTTGAAGTGAGAACGTGTCTATAATGACAGGTTTTATATTATTAACTTTTCTTTGTTTTCCGACTCCGTATGACATAATTTGTTAATGTGTCGTGGTTTGTTTAATTGAAAGAATTAAGTAATTATAAAGGCTCTGTCAACGATTTTATCATTACATGTATGTTATTATGATTGATTGATTAATCGATTTATTGATGGATTGATTGATTAATTGATTGATTGATGTGTTCTTAACGTCCAGAGGCAAATATGTCATGCGTAATTAGGACGAGAACAAATAGACGATCAATACTTTAGGTAGGTTCTGTAAAGAAGGAAGACAGGAATGAAGGCGGGAAGAAGAGATGAAAAAAAATATAAATAAACTCACCGTTGGTACAATTGACCTTATCACCTAAGAATAATAATCCATTCCTAGGTCAAAATATAAACGAATTTAATGAAAGAGCAACTTGTTTTGGTTCCTAGAATTCGAAAATCAAAAAAAACCCTTTAATTATTCACACAACATCAATCTGTTAGATACCAGTATTTACATTTTTGTGTCTGACATATTTGCCTTAGTGTTTCAAACTTCCTGCATAAAAATTAAAGAATGCACAATTTGCCGAAATGTTATCCATTTGATCTTGACTTTCATTAACGTTTTATATGTGCCACATCCCTAAGACTGTGTAAAAATGTGTGTACAGATCTGTAATAGTTCTGCCATGATGTTGATGCGGGTGGAATAATTTTTTTTGGAAAGCCTCAATTCATACCTAATCTTGACCAAAATTGTGTAAAATAGATATGTACGAATAATCAACTATGTCGAATTTTGACATGTTTATGACATGCAGAGACAGCAAATGAGAACAACATTTGATAAATTCAATGCGTCCGAAACGTTTCATCAGGCGCGTCTAACCTAACAAAGTAATAGACGGGGGTGCATAACAGAAATTTCTGCACAAAAGTGTCCAGATAATATCATTCAATTCATGCATTTTACTTGAGATTTCACATTTTCCCCTATTTTTCTATTTAATGGCTAGATAAAGTTTCTTATCATTCCCGATAGTATCTTCAGCTCAGTAGTTAGTGCATCGGTACTGACATGATTTTATTTATCGCATTTCTGAAAAATAAAAAAAAAATAAAGAAACTTTTTCTTTACTCCCTCGGGTAAAGTCGATCTTAGATGAATTTGATCATTCGTCATACGTCCCTTTTGGTCCCATAGCTCAAAACGTGTCTGCGTATTTATACTTCTCTGGCTTTCATAATGTTTACATTTGAAGGTCTCGATGAAAGCGCTGCTGTCGCACAATAGGAGGACGTATGGTAAATTTATTATGGCTTCTTTAGTGCAGAAAGGTCACTACATATGATTATCACTATAATGTCAAACCCATGTAGATATTGGCATAGTTGACCTTAAAAAGCCACTTCGCACATAATTAAAATGATATTTTACACACATCAACATTTGTGTAAAATATATCTTGTAGCGAAATATCTATTTCGGTTGAGCTGTAACGGTTGTTCATATCTAAATATTAATGACACTATTTCAAAATGAAGCAATTTTGGCAGTTGATGCAGTTTTGCACTAAATTCAAAAAGTTTGAAACCAACCCTAATGCAAATATGGAAGACAAAATCCAAAAATATAAAGACAGATTTTTGACAAGTTAGTATCTTATATTATAAACATCTAAATGTTGTCATTTTATAGATTAATAATACTTTTTGATTTCCGAATTCAAGGGGAACAGAAAAGTGGTCTTAGCATACCTTTTCAAATTTTATAAAGTGTTATTTTCAATAATTCAATCTCTTATCATACGATCTCCTTTAACCATGGGTTAAAAAATCTTTCATCTGTCTAATTTTCCACTGATTGCTTCTTTAAAACTTTAATGAAAAGTCAATGTTAGTTCGAAGCCTCGTTTCTGTCAAACTATAAGAAATAAATAGGTATTAATATCTATTTTAACGTATACTATCATTTTCAACTTTGATTACATCTCTTGAATGATGTAAAATTTCAAATTTAAGCCCTATTTTGATAATAATCTTAAGCAATTAAATGTTGATGTGTTTTTTAAACTTATTGAGACGAAACATGAAAAATTGATTGAAAACACATGAAAACCATAATATTTTTGCAAGAAAGCTATATAGGCCAACCTGATAAGGTTTACAGAATAGAGAATAATGGGCAAAGTGAGGCAGAATAAATGGCGAAAAAATAAAGAAATAGAGAAACTTGAAAAAGTAAAAAAAGAATAGAGAATAATAGGCAAAATTTATAAAGAATAGAGAAAACTAGCTATAAAAAAATAAAGATTAAATAAGAAGGAATACATATATTTTATTAATTGAATATGCTAGCTACCAGTACATGGTAATACGCTAAGCGTTAGAGGAGGGGTTTGGGGGTCGCGAATTCATTTTGTTTTACTGTGCCATTTTCTGCATGAAAATCCTAGTGCAACCGTATTGTAATGTGAAGAAGCGTTTAATTTTACAATTATTTCTTTCAACATTTACTTCAGTTTGTAATCTAAATACTCTCGCGAGATTTGATAATAACGGTATAAGTTGTCTAAGTGCCAGCACGAGACCAGCACGAGACGCCGATAACGATACATGTAATTCAACTACCACTACGAGACTGGTAAAAACAGTTCCCGGATGGAATAATAAGACATATTATTTTCTGTGTGCGACTTTATCAATAAAGTATTTATTAACTAAGTTTATATCTGATAAATTAATGTTTAAAACAGTCTCGCCACGAATCTCATTAATGCGTAAAGGTAAATAAAATATTTATCTATATCAACCTGGTTATTTTGTTTTTTGGAAATCGTGTATAGTATATAGATATAAGAAGATGTGGTATGAGTGCCAATGAGACAACAATCCATCCGAGTCACAATGTGTAAAAGTAAACCATTATAGGTGAAAGTATTGTCTTCAACACGGAGCCTTGGTTCACACCGAACAACAAACTATAAACGGCCCCAAAATGACTAGTGTAAAACAATTCAAACAGGAAAACTAACTGTCTATATATATACAAAGATGTGGTATGAGTGCCAATGAGACAACAATCCATCCTAGCCACAATGTGTAAAAAGTAAACAATTATAGGTCAAAGTACGGCCTTCAACACGGAGCCTTGGGTCACACCAAACAGCAAGCTATAAACGGCCCCAAAATGACTAGTGTAAAACAATTCAAACAGGAAAACCAACTGTCTATAGATATAAGAAGATGTGGTATGAGTGCCAATGAGACAACAATCCATCCTAGTCCACAATGTGTAAAAAGTAAACAATTATAGGTCAAAGTACGGCCTTCAACACGGAGCCTTGGGTCACACCAAACAGCAAGCTATAAACGGCCCCAAAATGACTAGTGTTAAACAATTCAAACAGGAAAACCAACGGTCTAATCTATATAAAAAAAGAAAACGAGAAACATTTATGAAGCACATCAACAAACGACAACCACTGAACATATTATTTCGTTTCCCCATTAAACCCAATTCTAGCATATATTTTTTTTCTAATTTTATGTTATTCTGGCTACCATGATTCTCGGGTTTTTAATATCATTATGTGGCTACTAAAGAAAGGATGTTTTTTGCTGCGCATGTACTGATTTTGTGTCATGGATGGATACCCCTAATCATTTGTTTATTCTATTAATTACCGGGGAATTTTCGATTTATTGATTGATTGTTAAATGCTTCGCGTCCAGTGGCAAATATTTCATGCATGTTCAGATTAAAAGAAATAAACAATAAATACAATAGGTAGGTCCTGTAATAGAAGGCGACCAGGATGAAGGGCGGGGAACATGAACTGCCACTGGAATATGAGGGTATATTGGATCAGTACACAAATTTAGCCTTACAACAGACCACATTCGGACCCCTCAAAGAGTATTTGTAATTGTAAGGGTTCTTTACAAGCAAAAGCGTGGCACTCTCTCTACAAGAGGCATCGAATTAAACGTCATCATTCTGATCGGACGTGACTGCGTATATATACATCCCGCACAAAAGAACGGACGCCCAACTTTGCCAAGGGTAATACTGCTGGTCGGAAGACGACCAATAGTGACCATATTTCTATTACCCAGTCATCCTTTGGGTTGGGGTCTTCGATAATGTCAGTTAGTATGTAAAACCTAAATAGAGAAGATCCCAAGACAAATGGAGGGAGGATTTAAAACAAATAAGTAAAGAAAAAAACAGATAGCACAATGACCAAAATGCCAACATAGGATACAGAAAATCAAAGACCAAGAAATGAGGGTCTGGATGGGGGTCCTTAGTTTCTGTAATCACAAACTTTTTTATGGTATTTTTCTATATCTTTATAAATAATGTTAGTCTGTAAAATTCTCATGAAAATGATTTTACAATTAAAATATTCTGTATTTAGATGATTTCTTTTTTCTGTAAATCGTTTATTTCTGTAAACAGTAACATGATTATTTTATTCTCCACATTTATTCTTTATACTTTTGCACCCCATTATTCTCTCTATTCTTTATATATTTTGCTCATTTTTCTTTGTAATTTTTTGGCCATTAATCTCTATTCTGTAAACCCCATTCAGACCCTCAAAATTACAAACCCCGTCAAAAATAGGGACTGAACTCGGGCATTTGCTATGGAAGGTCCAGGAATTCCCGCTCCATTAGTGACACAAGTCCTAACTGGATATGACATCCGAATAAGTGACGCTGCTTATCAAGAGAAGTTATTTTGTCGAAACAGCGTGTCTCACTTCTTATGGAGTTAAATGGTATTTTTCTATGCATACTTAGACTTATAAATTTGAACTTACATCGGTATACCCTATTGCTATCTTACCACAGTCAAATACACAGTTGCAAAATTGTTTCTGATGTACAGGAAAAAATGACATATTAATTAATTTGGTTAAATTAAATCAGACATCTTGTGGCTGGCTTCCGGCTTGTTTTCTATTTCAAATGAAATTCATAGAGAGAAGTTTATCCACATAAGAAAAAGTTTCCAAAGGGGAGTTTCAATCTTAATTTAAGGGCAATTATATAATATACATGTTCATAATCTTAATCATAATCTTAATTATAATCATAATCATAATCTTAATCATAATCTTAATTATAATCTCAATCTCAATCTTAATCTTAATCTTAATCATAATCATAATCATAATCATAATCATAATCATAATCTTAATCATAATCTTAATTATAATCTCAATCTCAATCTCAATCTTAATCTTAATCTTAATCATAATCATAATCATAATCATAATCATAATCATAATCATAATCTTAATCATAATCATAATCTTAATTATAATCATAATCGTATAATATAATGTACAAATACCATTCATATGTTGTACTGTTACACCACTGTCCCAGGTCACGGGAAGGGTTGGGCGCCCTCTAGCATGATTAACCGCGCCACATTCTGTATGTGCCTCTCCCAAGTCAGGGGCCTGTAAGTCAGTGGTTGTCGTTTGTTGCTGTATATCATATTTGTATTTCGTTCATTGTTTTTAAAATAAATAGCTGACTATGTGGTATGGGTTTTGCTCATTGTTGAAGGCCATACGGTGCCCTATAGTTGTTAACTTCTATGTCATTTGGTCTCTAGTGGAGAGTTGTCTCATTGGCAATTATACTACATCTTATTTTTATATGTATGCATCGCACTTTGGTGGACCGTGTCGGTTAACAGGAGACTTATGGTAGTAGGCTAATTGTAGTATAAAATACAATAATTGGCCGATCTACCTCTGAATAGATTTCATACATTTTACAACAGGACCACACTGCAGAAACAAATCACCCTGAAATTGTGTTCTGCTTTAAACATTTAAGCTACTGTTACATATATGAAAATTCTGAATTCAAGAAGTAAATTTATTTAGATTAGGTTAAGATTTAGACCTTCATATTTCACTTATCCATTGTTGAAGATTGTTTGTTGACCTCTAAATAAAATTGAGAATGGAAACGGGGAATGTACGTGTCAAAGAGACAACAACCCGACCAAAGAGCAGAAAACAGCCCAAGGCCACCAAGGGGTCTTCAACACAGCGAGAAAATCCCGCACCCGGAGGCGGGCTTCAGCTGGCACATAAACAAAAATGTATACTAGTTCAGCGAAAATGGACGTCACACTAAACTTCGAAACATATAAATGAACCAAAATTAATCTAAATCTCTTTTCGTTATTTTTGTCTGTCTCATTGACGTCAGTCTTGCGGATCTGGAAGGGGTTTACAGAATAGGGAATAATGGTCCAAAATTACAGAAAATAGGCCAAAAAACTAAAGAATAGAAAATAATAGGGTGTTAAGATATTTATAAAGAATAGAGAATAACAGCTAGGTTAAATTTATAAAGCATGCTTAAAAGAGAAAAAATGGCATAAAAATTAAAGAATAATGAAATTAAGTACCCCCATCTTGACACTCATTGTTTTTCCGCCAGAACATCTGCTGTTATGAGAACTCAGATTTTTTGTTGATAATCAATCTTTTAATAATCTTACAAATTTTTTATTTTCTTTTGATTTAAACTATGTTATTTTGGTTGTAGTCGTCCCACAGAGCATTTCGTCTTTTTCAATTGTTCAAAGATACAATAACAAATAATTTGTTTTCTCACAAATCAGTAATTAGAAGAAAGAAAAGGCATGGAAGTGTCTTTTATGTGACACTATATTACTCTATTCAGGAAATAGATTGTCACTCTCTGTGAACTCATTACCATAATAATTAAATATTAGTATTAATGGTAACCCCAATGACCGTCAATATACCGAAACGTACAGGAATAGAAACTTTATTAAGTACTGAATAAAAGAGACTCTGAATCAATGGAAATGATTGTAGAACAGAAATAATACTCTTAGACGTTAAATGTTATAATTAAAGCTATATTCTGAGACCCCTTTATCATGTTTTAAACCAGTGGTCCAAACAGGCGATTTTTTTTTTTTTTTGGTTGTTGTTAATAAAAAGGTCAAAACGATTTTGTCACTATTTTATACACTGCATTATTGTATTTTTTAACTTTATTTCGTTATTACTAATCATCAATAATTAATTATAATCATTGAAATAAATTGTTTGTAACTATTCTGCCGTTTGTGCGTGTTTAATTGACAATTAATACACCTTATCGCTATTTGTCCGGCATTTTTGGATTTCACAAAGGTTCCCGTAATATTTTGACGTCACAATAGAAAATGTCTGACGCAACAAAGGAAAAGTGATTATTGTATGACGTCAATAGTCTAAGCGACGAAGATTCTTGGGTCAAGTGTCGCAGATTCCCAAATAGCGATAAAGTCCAGTATACAATATCGTATTGCATTGTATAAGAGGTTACCTTATTCGTTTAGTTTTTAAAAACATTTGATCGATATCCTGAATTTTATAAACAGTGTGCAAAAATGTTAAATAAACCACATACCAACTTAATTTCAACCACATTTCATATAGAATTTGCGTTTGCTATTGTTTTTGTTTTTAACATTCACTGAACATGTATTAATTAGAACTTTATAACCATAGTGAAAAATACCATAGTTATTAGCAGTAAACGTCGTCCTATGCTTGTTCCAATAGATGTATTTACACTTGTATGCAAATTTGTCCGCCATTACTTAAAATCACACAAGTTCCCGTAAATTTTAACATCACAATTTAAAAAATTTGACGTCATAATTAAAAAGTGATTGTCAGAAGGTTATTCGGAGAAAGATCTAAGGTCATTCGGAGACAAAATTCAGCTGAATACTAAAAGTGTAAATACGTTTATATTTAACGTTCATTTGCGCCAATATAACATTTGTGCAAATGTTTTTTTTTTAGATTTTATATATCAAATTCGACATTGATAGATAATAAAATATGTTTGCACCAGTACACATTTTTTATTATCTACTTCACAGCTTCGCTAATGTTTAATGAATAATGTAGCTTGCAGCTTGGAAGAACATATTGTATGATCTTTAACTTCATGCTTTATTTAGCCTTTGTAATATTTATTTGTTTCGAGCGTCACTGATGAGTTTTTTGTTGACGAGAGGCATATCTGTATTGTTGAATTTTAGTTGTTTTTTATCCATTATTCTCCATTCTTTATATTTGAGCACCCCTTTATTCTCTACCTTCCCCCCGTCATGCTCTATGCTGTAATATTTACATCCCCCCCATCATTCTCTATGCTGTAATATTTACATTCCCCCGTCATTCTCTATGCTGTAATATTTACACCCCCGTCATTCTCTATGCTGTAATATTTACATCCCCCGTCATTCTTTATGCTGTAATATTTACATCCACCATCATTCTCTATGCTGTAATATTTACATCCCCCCGTCATTCTCTATGCTGTAATATTTACATCCTCCCAAAATTCTCTATGCTGTAATATTTACATCCCCCGTCATTCTTTATGCTGTAATATTTACATCCCCCATCATTCTCTATGCTGTAATATTTATATCCCCCCGTCATTCTCTATGCTGTAATATTGACATCCCCCCATCATTCTCTATACTGTAATATTTACATCCCCCCGTCATTTTCTATGCTGTAATATTTACATCCCCCATCATTCTCTATGCTGTAATATTTACATCCCCCCGTCATTCTCTATGCTGTAATATTTATATCCCCCCATCATTCTCCATGCTGTAATATTTACACCCCCCCGGTCATTCTCTATGCTGCAATATTAACATCCCCCATCATTCACTATGCTGTAATATTTACATCCCCCCGTCATTCTCTATGCTGTAATATTTACATCCCCCTATCATTCTCTATGCTGTAATATTTACATCCCCCCGTCATTCTCCATGCTGTAATATTTACATCCCCCGTCATTCTCTATGCTGTAATATTTACATCCACCCGTCATTCTCTATGCTGTAATATTTACATCCCCCCATCATTCTCTATGCTGTAATATTTACATCCCCCCGTCATCCTCTATGCTGTAATATTTATATCCCCCCGTCATTCTCTATGCTGTAATATTGACATTCCCCCATCATTCTCTATACTGTAATATTTACATCCCCCCGTCATTCTCTATGCTGTAATATTTACATCCCCCATCATTCTCTATGCTGTAATATTTACATCCCCCCGTCATTCTCTATGCTGTAATATTTACATCCCCCCATCATTCTCCATGCTGTAATATTTACATCCCCCCGTCATTCTCTATGCTGCAATATTAACATCCCCCCATCATTCACTATGCTGTAATATTTACATCCCCCCATCATTCTCTATGCTGTAATATTTACATCCCCCTATCATTCTCTATGCTGTAATATTTACATCCCCCCGTCATTCTCCATGCTGTAATATTTACATCCCCCCCCGTCATTCTCTATGCTGTAGTATTTACCCCCCCCCCCCCGTCATTCTCCATGCTGTAATATTTACATCCCCCGTCATTCTCTATGCTGTAATATTTACATCCACCCGTCATTCTCTATGCTGTAATATTTACATCCCCCCATCATTCTCTATGCTGTAATATTTACATCCCCCCGTCATTCTCTATGCTGTAATATTTACACCCCCCGTCATTCTCTATGCTGTAATATTTACATCCCCCCCCCCCGTCATTCTCTATGCTATGAACCCCGTCCAGATCATCCTAGATGGAAGTATGTATTGAGGTTACAGAACTTTATGAATGAAGTAAAATATGTTCGAAGGACACCGATAGAATACGGAAACTATAACATATACAAAGGAACAAAATGGCAAACTCGAATACCTATTTTTCTTTCTTAAGTTATTAGATCCGGTATCGATTTGCATTAATTTTGTCAACTCACGTAAGCAGAGACAAAAGAACTTTTCAGCAAGGACAGCTTTTAATTATTCCTTACCAGATACTTAATGACCAAAGGAAGCTTAATCAATATAATTCTTCTTGCTTCATTTTGTCCACAGCTTAATTTATTTATTGTCACGACCAATGTTATTTGAATAACAGAGGGTGTAGGTGGGAACTCTTCATTTCTATGTTCTTTGAATTTCTAGGCCATTTTTCTCTATTCTCTTTTTTTTTTGCCCATTTTTCTCTGTTCTTTATATTTAAGCATCCCATTATTCTTTATTCCTTAGTTTTTGGCCTATTTCTCTCTATTCCTTATTGTTGGTCTTATATTCTCTATGAGGGCTCTTCGTTGTTGTATTTTTAAGATTTTGGCATTTTTTTCTATTCTTTATTTCCTTTGTTCTCTATTTTCTCTACTCTTTATATTTTATCACCCCATTATTCTCTTTTGTTTATGTTTTGGCCTATTGTAATCTACTTTTTATTTTTAAGTCTTTTATTCTCTATATTTTCCCCATTATTCTCTATTCTGTAAACCCATCCAGACATTATTGTTCTCACTGCACTGCTCTCGATTTGTCCAATATTTCTGAAATGGTTCTATTTTGTTGATTTCTAGGTGAAGACTGATTTCGCATGTTCATTAAGTTATAGTAAACAAAATTAATTCGCATTAAAGTCTTATGCATGTATAGAGTCTGGGCCTTATGTAGCTGACTATACGGTATAGGCTTTTCTCATTATTGAAGGCCATACGGTGACGCATAATTGTTGAATTCTAAGTCATTTTTGGTATCTAGTGGAGAGTTGTCTCATTGGCAATCATATCACATCGTCTTATATTCATATATCGCTATAATAGTACAAAAGAAATTCAATAGTCAAATCCTTTCTCAATAAATCCAAAACTTCGCCTTTGCTAAAAAAGCAAATTTGTTTGTAACTAATGTCAACACAATGTCCTTCTGCGGAAGAATATTATAGAAATATATAGATATGGAGAACATGTCACCCACATAGCAATAAGAAAATCACGTGACAAGTTATTGAGCGTTTAAAGTTCGTCTTTGAACAATTAATACATGTACGTAAATACAATGATCACAAGCCGTATGGCAAGGCCAAACATTTAAATATCTCGGTTAGCCTCGTATATTTATCGTTTGCGTGCATTTTAAAATTATTCATTATTTTATTTCAGAATGGAGTCAAACATCACAAATGAAACACTGCTTGCGATTGGTAAGTGCAACTTATGTTCAGCATTAAACTATGACACAGGTGACTGGGGACTGGATCTTCTTTTTCTGTGTTACAGATAATAAATTTTAATTTAAAATTCGTAACTACTTCAGCTTACTATTCTTAATCTAATTATCTAATTAACTATTATATTTTTTCCTAGATATTTGTAACATAAAAAAGAGGCTCGTTGCCGCGCCAATATTAATCGTCGCGAAACGGTCAAACTAGGATTTTTAATATACATGTAGATACATCAACAAAGTTATAAAATCGCAAAAATAAATCTTCCCGAAATTGGGTAGAAAGGGTGAAACGCAAAAAAAAGTTTACGCGAAATAAGCTGGTTCAAAGTATTGCAAATCAAACAGAATTCATCTTTACAATACTTAATTGTCTAATCAGTTGTAGTAAATCCATTAAAACTTGTCTTAAGAACTCTAAACTCTTGTATTGGTAAAATTTATACCCCCCTCCCCCCAGCCCTAAAAAAAGAAGAGAGAACAAGAATAACTTAGCACTTACATATTTATGAGGGTCTTGATGGGGTTTACAGAATAGAGTATTATGTAGATATAAGAAGATGTGGTATGAGTGACAATGAGACAACTCTCCATCGACTAGTACTACAGGAAATGGGCACAACAATTTAAGAATATAGAAAAATATACCAGAAAAATGAATAATATAGAAAAGTGGGGTGCTTAAATATAAAGTAAAGTGAATAATGGGCAAACTTTTAAATATAAAAAATAGAGAAAAAGAATACTGAATGAAAGGAACTTAATTCATATTTTAATGATCATATCTAGATCATATTTTTCAATTCTGGATTTTTGTAGGTCGCCAACCAGAACGATGGGGATGGTGGACCCAGCAAATAGTGACACCGATTATCGTTCTTATCGGAATTGGCGGGAATATAATGTCGTTTTTACTAATGAAGACCAAATCCCTCCGAAAGAAATCCTACAGTCATTTTCTCTGTGCTTTAGCAGTATTTGACAGTCTCTGTTTGATTAATCGACAGATAGCATTGATACATCAACTCATGCACGATAAAAAGAAAGATGGAGTCTTTACAAATTATAGCGACATCTCGTGTCAAATTTATAGCTTTTATGAGCACGTGTGTTATCTGATGTCATCATGGCTAATTGTAGGAATGGCTGCCGAGCGAGTTGTAGCGATGTGCTTGCCGTTTAGAAAGACAATATTGAGAACGCAAACCGGAGCAATCGTGATGATCATTTCAACTTTTATTCTCATGTGCATATCTCAAATATTCCGTTTCATAATGATAAAAAATGTCGGGGGTAACTGTGAAGGCGATATGGAAACACATTCAGAGTATTTGAATCTACACATTTATTTTTACCAGTTTACATTGGTTCTAACATTGCCGTTTATACTGGTACTTGTCTGTAACAGCCTAGTTATCTATCAGATACATCGAGTGAGAAAGGCTGCCGGTAACACGAGATCTCGCGTTGTCGAACGATCTCACAAAACCACGTTGATGTTACTTGCCATCTCATTTACATATCTAGTAACCATGCTCCCTCTGGTGGTAATATCATTTGTATGGCAGGTAACTTTAGAGAACCAGGACATAGAGATGGTGTTCTTTCTTATGCCTTTTCAATCGTTTGTCTCCGTTATATCATACTGTAATTATGGTGTGAATTTCTTTATATACATTATGTCTGGTCGATCTTTCCGACTTGAACTCAAGAGGGTATTCCGAAGAGAACGACATCTTAGTATGTCTTCTACAAGAACAAGAGAGGAGGTAATGAAGCTTCAATAATCAGTTTATGACATACACTAAGACATATGCGTGACATATCGTTTGACGTGTTATTCGGTGTGACATATAATATAACATGTTTGGAATCGAAGTTAACTTTCTGAACGACTAAAATTAACATCACTCGTCGCTATTTCGGCCGATTCCTTACATCTATCTAAAGAACAAGGGAGAGCACCGGATTCACCCGAGGGTTGCCGATTGACAATAATATGTCATTTTTTTGTGCATGCGCATATCAAATAATATGTTGTAATATAATTACAATGTAAATTATATGGTTTCTGCTGTTAAACCGATGGTTGTTTGTAAAAACCAAGTTCATCATTACTACCAGTGATCTATATTATAAACTAAATAATGTATGTGGATCTGTCTATGTTTCCAATTGGAAGTATTTTAAGCCAGACATATGAGGAGCATTTGAAGGATAATAGATCTACCTAATATCTCTGTATAGAGTGAAATAATCAAAATTAAAAAAAAAATATCATTTAAATGTTTTTCCGACTTCTATGGTATGTAAAACTTTTCCCTGTTGGAATACTTGTTAGATGTAAAAATAAGAAGATGTGGTATAATTGCCAGTGAGACAACTCTCCAAAAGAGACCAAATAGCACAGAAATTAACAACTATAGGTCGCCGTACGGCCTTCAAGAATGAGCAAAACCCATACCGCATTGTTCTTGCAGCATTTTGTTTTAAGACACAGACACCAATTTGTGTTCATGGTACAAGATAGCTAAAAATGAAAGCAGATTTGTAAGATTCTGGCGTCATCACTGCAACTTACTTAAGGCATTACATTTGACACCATCACGAGTGGTTGACCGTTATGGAATATCTGTTTCACAGATGACGACAGATATGTTCCAATTGTCCAAACTATAATCCCGTCCCCTTTTCCCCGAATGTAACCCACCGAATTAGACTTGTCACCGGGTGTATATGTACTTACATGAGCAACACGACGGTACCACATGTGCACTGTAAATCTAAGTGTTAATAAATAGAACACTGCTTGAACGCTTTTTTGTAACACTTTTTGAACATGTAATGGTGTTCCAAATGTTTACACTAGTGTTCATCAATTGAATGTGTGGTGTTCAGTTTTTAATGCCTTTGTGTTTCATTTTTGGACACTTGATGTTAGAGTTCTTAACACTTAGTGTTCTACGATTTAACGTGTCCGAATGTTCAAAATCTTAATACGTCGACGCGTTCAACAGCCATGTAACACTTTTTGAACACATAGAACATATTTAAAGCCAAAGTGTTAAGATTCAGAACACCAGACGTTAACTTTCAGAACAGTTTACATAAGTGTTTAAAGTGATGGTGTTCAAATGTGGAACATGTTCTATTTTCAAGCGTACATAATTTTCCATAAGTACTCAACTTAAATAAACTGTTATAAAAACTATATTCAATCAGGCAAAATATAACAATAAAACATATTTTAACAAGTAATTCTTTATGTAATCAAATGAGCATATTATATGTAAGAAAAGTACACCAGATACCTTATGATATCACAAGTAACAGTCAGTGAAATCACATACATAATGTTTTTAATCTGACTTAATATATATCACAAATAATGATTTTCCCCTACATGACTAGATAGTTGCAACATCATTTGTATCCTAACCAAAAAAGCATGTCAATGTGATAATTAGATAGTTTATGATATAGGTATTTGTCACAATGAAAGTTTAAAAGTTTGCAAATTCCAACAGTTCTTGTACGATCACATACAATGTACGCTCCACTTTTCAGTGCACCTTCACTTAAAGCTATCAACTGGGTGGTATTTTATGTGTTGTTTTCAACTTCCAATGTCAAAATCCTCCACAACAAGGAATTTCTATGAGCCTATATATCCTGCAAAATAAAATTAAAAATTACTAGAAGAGAGTTTTTCATAAAGCATCAAATTATGCAATGCTTGTTATGCTTTAATGTCGATATATACTAGTGTACAAATTGATATTCTATAGCAATGAAATGCAAGTTTTGACATAATAAATTACAAAAGTCGATTTCTTGACCTAAGGTGAACAGATAGAAATGATACACCCACATAAGCTATTAATATACATATATTGTCATACCTTTTTTCGACATCTTTCTTTTTTCCACCACTTTATAGCATGCAGAAATGACCTTTTTGTGATTATTGGCTACCGGTTCCTAATTCAAACATTTTAATCTAACGATTCCTGCAAATAAAAAAACAAATGCATTTTCTAAGTCAAAAATGGTGTTCCAAATGTTTGCACAAGTGTTCATCAATTGAATGTGTGGTGTTCAGTTTTTAATGCCTTTGTGTTTCATTTTTGAACACTTGATGTTAGAGTGTTCATCAATTGAATGTGTGGTGTTCAGTTTTTAATGCTTTTGTGTTTCATTTTTGAACACTTGATGTTAGAGTTCTTAACACTTAGTGTTCATCAATTGAATGTGTGGTGTTCAATTTTTAATGCTTTTGTGTTTCATTTTTGAACACTTGATGTTAGAGTTCTTAACACTTAGTGTTCATCAATTGAATGTGTGGTGTTCAGTTTTTAATGCCTTTGTGTTTCATTTTTTAACACTTGATGTTAGAGTTCTTAACACTTAGTGTTCAGCTAATGTATGTGGATGTCGAAAATCATCATTTATTCTGTATAACAGACAGACTGTTTATTTATCAGTTTAGGAAATCATCAGAACAAAGCTGACAGTTATTTACGTTTATATCTAAAGCCCGTCTTTTAATTCGTCTTTTATGTTGAATCTTGAAAATTTGGATAAAACAGTTATGAATATTTGACAAATATATATATCTGGCATGAGAAAATAACAAGGAAGCCATCGAACTACCTATGGAGATTATTCTAACTTGTTACTTACTTCTTTCGTGTTCATATGGGATAGAAGTCCCTTCTCCAGTTCTCTTTCTTATGTGTATCCATTCTTCGTTTAACCGCCTAAATCGCCAGCCGATATCTGTTTCTATTTTTTTTAACACGAGGTGTTCAAAATTTCGAGCGATTTGAACACTGGTTGAACATGTAATGTTAATAAAATGAACGGATCATGAAATAAGATAAACATCGACATATTTTTATAGCGATATTATCATAACAGGCCTCATTGATATGCATAATTATGTCACTTATAAGTAAAACTAGTATATATAAATAAATAATAAAATAAATTCATAAACTATACATATATGCCAGCTTGGAAGTTTAATATTTCACAATTACTAAAATATTAGCCAAAAATTCACAAGATCATCATCCTGCGTATACATTCATATTTTTTAAAGAATTTCTTTTTGAATTTGCCAATTGGAAGGATAGAAAATCGGACAAACGACTATCTTCTTTTTTAGATCAGAATTTGAACACCGGTGTTCAATGCGTCTGAACACACATGTTAATATTTTTACGTTAAAACTTTGAACACGTCTCTAAGCAGGAACATATGACGTTAAAATATTGAACATTCGGTGTACAAATTTTGAACGCGTCCGGACGCGTCAGGCGTCAGGTATATTTACAGTGTGGAGCAGGATCTGCTAACCCTTCCGGGGCACCTGAGATCACCTCAAGGTTTTGGTGGGGTTCGAGTTGCACAGTCTTCAGTTTTCTATGTTGTGTTTTGTGTATTGTTGTTCGTCTGTTTGTCTTTTTCTTTTTTAGCCATGGCGTTGTCAGTTTATTTTCGACTCATGAGTTTGAATGTCCCTTTGGTATCTTTCGCCTCTCTTTGACACAGGTATATATGCAATATCACTAGAACTTCCATACTGTAATTTTTGATATCACTACAACTGACATAAGGCAGTGTGGGTAATATACTCGGGAGGCTCTTGATGCTTTACGTGTATTTACTTCATTAGAAGCATTAGGTCATAATTGATTTGACTGTTTTATCAGTGTTTATATGTGCATAGCGGCTCATGCATCACAATGGTAATTGATAAAAGACGGGGTTTCATACACTGTGAAAGGGCATTTCGGAGAGACACCCCGTAGCAAAACTTTAAGCAAGTAAAATGTCATTAATAATCTATTACGTAGACATCATGTGACTTGTTTCGTAACTATTAGTCAGTTTGTAACTTAATTTTGTGGCATATGTAAATTATTCTATCTTACAAAACGAATCCTACTGTAAATTGTATCTTTAATATGAATTGTTAATATTGCATTAACTTGTCATCGTCCTGAATATACCTTTAGTTTGCCACTGGACGTTAAACAACCAACCATCCGTCATCATCATCTAAACTCAGCGCCTGACAAAGGCGGAACATACAGATTAGGTAACAGGTGTCCAATGGTTGGAATATAAAAGAGAATGACATCAGTGGTTATCGTATGTCTTATTTAATTGTTGTCTATTATTTGTAGAATCTAGTTATAATAACAGATCTTTGATCAATTCAGTGTAATTTTTCACGACTTTCTAACCGCGCCACCGTGACAATACTCTATGTTGTCTTTTTGATGTCCGTTGGTTATTTTTGTCAGTAATAGGCTGTTGTCTCATTGTCGTTTGTATGCCCTATATTTCCTTTTATTTATATACACATTTTCTTGGTAAACAATTTTATTTGTAGCATTAGTATTAATGGCAGATCTTTATAAAAATAAAGGAGATGTGGTATGATTGCTAATGAAATCGTTTCTGTGAAAAAATTATTAACGACTTTTCTAACCGTGCCACCGTGACAATGCTCTATGTTGCCTTTTTGATGTCTTTTGGCTATTTTTGTCAGTAGGCTGTTATCCCATTGACGTGTATATGCCCTATATATCTTTTTATTCATCCACATTCTCTTGGAGACAATTTTATTTGTAGAATGTAGTATTAACGACAGATCTTTATAAAGTTAAAGAGATGTGGTTTGAATTCTAATAAGATCGTTTCTGTAAAAACAATATTAACAACTTTTCTAAAGGCGCCACCGTGACAATACTCTATGTTGCCTTTTTGATGTCTTTTGGCTGTTTTTTACAGTAGGCTGCTATCTCATTGACGTGAATATGCCCCATATATCCTTTTATTCATCCACATTCTCTCGGTTGACAATTGTATTTGTGAGAGTAGTATTAATGACAGATCTTTATAAAAATAAAGGAGATGTGGTATGATTGCTAATAAGATCGTTTCTGTAAAAAAATTATTAACGACTTTTCTTACCGCGCCACCGTGATAATACTCTTATGTTGCATTTTGATGTCCTTTGGTTATTTGTGTCAGTAGGCTGTTGTCTCATTGACGTGTATATGCCCCATATATCCTTTTATTCACCCACATTCTCTCGGTTGACAATTCTATTTGTAAAATGTAGTGTTAATGACAGATCTTTATAAAGTTAAGGAGATGTGGTTTGATTGCCAATGAGACACTGATAGTTTATGTGTAAAAACA